GTTTGATAGTCAGGGATTCATAAAAGTGGAAACAATGTCAAAGGAAGTGAACACGGCAAGAAAAGCAAAACATTCAAGTCCATCTGAATGTTTATAGTTCATCTTGAACTACAAACCTTCAATACACACTTTCTTTTCAGCAGTGTGTTTACATTTTAAACAGAGTGATGAAAATATCTTTTGAAGTGTGTGTGAGGTCCGTCTCTGGAGCACTGCTTTATGTGTGTAGCTGTTCAGTCCCATGAAAATAAAACTCTCGGCCATAAGAGGTCATCTCATAATGTAAGAGATGACCTCTTTGGCCAGTTTCCTTCTGAAACACGTCATACTCCAGGACATATTTGGGCTGTCCTTTAAGTAGCTTGTAACACACCACACATGAAAACCTGTTCATGCAATGCTCCTGGGTCTTTGACCCAGTGTTTTGAGTTTATTCTTTATTAAGTCTCCGTCTCTGGTGTTCTGCTACTTCCTGTTTTATATTGCCAGTCCCTCATCTTGTGTGCTTTGTGAAAATGTTTGCTTCCCATGTCTTGTTTTCCCTGATTTGGTTCACCTGTGTTTTTTAGTGTCTTCCTGTAGTACTTGTTGTGACCTCCCTCATGTTGTGTGCTCAGTGTGTTTCTTAGTTCCTTGTACTGTATGTATTTCTGGCTTCTGTCCCCACATTATTTGTCTCTTGTACTTTTTGGCAAGTTTACCGCACTGAAGCTGCCTTCTTTAGTTCATTTTCCCGAATTATGAGTCCTGCATCTGAGTCTGCAATCTTCCTGCCACACAACACTTCATGAGAGGTCACCTTAGTTTCATAAAAATGCTTACAGTAAACTTGAGCAAGAATATTGCTTCAAGTCATTATTCATGCTCCTCATCTTTCAGTTTGCTTTTCAATCTCTGACTAGTGAGTCCTAAACGCCAGAGGACAAACCCCGCTCCAAGGCAAAAACTGAGCCTTTCAACGGCTCACTGCACCCTCTTCAGACAGAACATTTGAGAGGCTTTTCAAGTCAGAGTGACTCTCAGCTAATGCTCTCACTAAACCGGTGTCATGTAGCAGACTGGCTGAGATCTAGTGGGTAAACCAATCCAAGGTCACATATTTGAGAGCTGACAGATGCATCCAGTTACAGTACAAACCTGACACAGTATACACAGACAGATGCACAGCACACACATCTACACACATGCAATGTCCTGACCACAAATGGAAGCCTAACTAATGCCTGCCTAATACAAACCATCATCTTGACAATAAAAATGTTTTTACAAAAATGTGGTTTTAATGTCCATAACTGGGACTTACTTACTTTCCAGCCCATAATTGGGGAGCTCTATAAACAAATGTATATTCCCACAGTGTCACAGCACATCAGTCCTGATATGTTTTATGAAAATGTTTGTGTTGTTTTAATGTGTTTTGCACAGAAATTGATCCGTCACATATTTAATTTTGAAAAATAATGCTAATGACACAAATTAAGTGTTCTTGCACAGAGCAAAGCAAATTACAGAAATGTCAGCAAAGTAATCCTCTTGCAGACTGAGTGATAATGAGCTAATTAAATTTGAAATTAACAGTTTAATTCCGAATCTTAATATGTAATGCTCTTCTGTCGGATGTTATGCATTTGAAGTTTAAATAAAGATTTTAATCAAGAAAAAGAATAATGCATGTCTTTACAAGCAGGAGAGCTCAGTAAAGGACTTCCACTGTAGTTTTATCAATAGGAAATGACCTTACTAAAAAAATCTGCTTTCTCGTTTTCCTTTTTTTTCACAATACTTTAGATTTTCTGACATTTTAGCTACATGCTATAAACCTCATTTAAGAAAGGTTATTCAACTTTGTAATTTGTGCTGTGTCACTGCTGTAGAACTAAACAACACCTTCTGCAGTGAAACAAATAAAGCAAACACAGTAGCTCTGAGATTAAAACGTTCAACTTTTATAGCAAAATTCAGCAAATGCAGTAAAACCTTACTGTGTTTTCTGTGTTTATTTGTGTCTTGGTCTATGCATTGCATACATCCAACATATGCATTTTATATACACTCCATTAGTGCACTCGCACACTTTCACTATGGCACTCAATATACTGAGTCTCTGAAAATGATAGAAATAAATCAAAGCAGACCAGCTCATTGGTGCAATTCAAAGAAACACGCTTCAAAGCAATTACTTGGAAAAACCCTCCAAAATCCCACAACTTTGATCTTTGATGGGGGAAGCCCTCCTATAGTCAGACAGACAAAGACAGCTCTGTTGAGCCTTTAGCTTTTTGTAGTGATGATTTCATGAGCTTCTTCGGCAGTAAAAAATATTACAGAGAATTGGAATATAGTATCACAGATGCATCTTCAGTTACATAAGGCTTACTGTCAGTGTAGCTGGAGGATATATGGCTCAGTGCTCCCTTTTTAACCTTAAGATGAATGTAACAAAAAGCTACTTGTTTTTACATAATAGCTCCACACTGAGCTGATGATCCACGGAGCACCACTCTTCTATTCTTCTCTCTTACAATCCTAATTCTATTCTATTCTATTACCTCGTGTCCTCTCTCTCTTGACGTTTGCACATTTTACAGTCTGTCCTTATGCTCCCCCCCCCC